CCAGCCCAGCGTGGCCCCTTGCGCGTCCTAAAGACCGCGAGGCGTTCGGTGACGGGAACCTCATCGCTGCACGCAACGCTTTCCGCCACACGCAAATCCCTCGTGTCCCAAAGACGCCGCGCCTCACCTGCGCGCTGAAGCAAGCACGTTTCGTAAGGCGCCTTCTCGACCGCCACGGTCCCAAGGTCCTTCTGCGCAGGGCGCCTACCCCACACAGACGCGTAACCACCTGGCGCCTCCCACCAACTGTCGACGCTTGGAAGGTGGTCCAAGCAAGTAAGCACTCCAGGCTCCTCAACAGGGCGCCCAACCGGGCCGCTCCCGCCCCACACCGAAGCGAGAACAGTCACCGCAGCAAGGACCGATAGCACACCGATCCTGGCGCCGGTACGCAGCCGCCCAAAGGACCGCGCACACGAGGAACAACCTTGGAAGCTTCTTGCCGCGGCCCTGGACGCGGACCCGCAAGCAAAGCACGGGTCATGGTCAACCGAAGCAACGGCGACCCCACAATCCGCACATGCCTGCGGAGACGGCTCTGACTCGAACACCGTCTCAATCGCGCCACAACCACAAGCCGCAGTGCTGACGAGGCCGGAACGCACTTCCGCAACAACCTCGCCTGGCTGGAGAGAGTGATCACACTCTTGGGCTGCAAGCAAAACAAACCCTTTACCCTCTCCTGTGGGCCAGAGACCTGGCACAGCCTCAACCCCACACTCAACCGGAAGCACAACCTCGGACAGGGATCCCTCTGCGGAGACTCCTGACTCCCGCACGACTGGCACCAGCACCCCAGCACGAAAATCTCGGTGTTGGGGCGACAGTCGTCCGCCGTTTTGCCTTCCAGCAGCGTGACGCGCAAGACTGCTGCCCCTTTCAGAGGAACCGGGGCTCCCGAAGCGATGCCATGCACATATTCGGGGTGGACCCACTTCTCAAGTCTCACGACCGGAAAGCCAGGATCCTCAGTGCCGATCCCAAGCTCTGCAGCCCGGTTCATCATGCCTACCACGAGTTCCTCAGTCACGTGGTTTGCGCCGGCGCAACCGTCAAGCATGCACTCGACCTGGCGGTCGAGGACCTGGACCACCGTTCTGTACTGGTAGCCTCCTGGCTCGTTGTCCGCCAGGTTCCACCAGTCCTTCGGCAGATCGTCCAAGGTGGCGAACTTGTCCCGCCCGCCCTTGCTTAACGGAAGCGCGTGCTGCTGCACCGCGGCGTGTCCTGCGGCTCCTAAGACGCCTGCCTGGACGCCTGAGCTGCCTATCTGGACACTGAACGCGGCGAAGGGGTTAGACATGGAAGCACCGGAGGGCGGGGCCCAGTTGGCAGGCAAGGCCGGCGTCCCTCCTGAGGTCGTCAGGTTGTGGACCATGTCGCAGCTGGCTCCTTTCTTGCACGACCCATTCTTGGAGAAAAAGGGGCAAACAGTGCCTGGTGGCTTTGCCGCGCCTTTGGCCGCAGCCTTAGGCTTTGCGTTGGCTTTTGCTTTGCCACCTCCCTTCCCTTTGCCTTTACCTTTCGCAGTGGCAAAGGTTTGGTCACCCTTCTTGGCCGCGAGAGCTTTTCTGCGAAGCTCCTTGTCGTGGCTGTACGGGCAGGCATCCCCTTTCGGGCAATTCCCATGATCGCGAAAGTGGAAGCAGATCTTCTTGTCCGCTCCTTTGCCAGCTCCCTTTGACGTAGCAGCATACGTCTGGTCCGCGCCAGCTTTGGCCGCGGCAGCTGCTCCTTTCGCAGCAGCCTTCGCAGCGGCCTTGAGACTCTTAATCTCCTTCTGAGCCTCAGCCAGCGCGACCGCCGGGTCCGCGCTCTGCGAACCGGTGGCAGTGTACACAGAGTGGGAAACAGCCCTGTGCGCTGCTTCTCTCTGCTCGTACTCCAGAACGACTTTGTGGCTCTCTTCCCAAGTCTGCGGTCCTCGCAACCCGCCATCCTTGGGGTCGCCAGGCCACAACCTTTTGTCGTTCCGGATCTCCTTTTGGAGATAAGGGGGCATCTTGCGGAGGTATGAGAGATACAACTCCCGAGGGGTCTTCCCGAGACCTACTGCCTCGAGGTCCGCGATCGAGGCCTCAAACAAAGGCTCGAATTGATGGCCTGTGAGCTTACCCTTAGCGAGAGAGGCGTGCTCACCATCCACGCGGACTTCTCTTTCCTCCCGCGATTCCCCGAACATCAAGTGTTTGTTCTTGATGCGGTCATACACCGCCTGTGGATCTGAGAGAACCTCTCCCGATTTCCACGCTGCGCGGTACGCGTTCGTGTACGTCTTCATGCGCGAGCCGCGGCAGCGCCCGCGTAGCGCTAACAGCTTTTCGCGCGCACTCATACCGCGACAGTTGTTGGCCAGCGCGCAGACGTCCTCGAACTCCTCGTAGAACAGGACAACGTCTCGCGCGTCCGACTTGTCGTCGGTCAGCGTCGGCCACGTGAGGTCAGTTTTGACCGTAGTTATGGAGCTTTGCCCGCCCCTCTGCGCTAACGCTTCTTTCAGCGCCTCAGTTTGGGCGGCGAGTGCGGCGGCGAGATCGCCCGCCGGGTGTTGGGACCCGGTCTGCGAACCTCCGCCGTCTGAACCTCGCTTCAGGGCTTCTATCTCCATCTCTAGCGCAGCAAGCTTCGCGCGCAAAGGGGAATCGCCGTCCGTCGCGCCCAGGACACGGGCCGCGGAAGGACCACCTGCAACCTCAGCAGTGTGCAAACCTCCACGGTCCAATCCTACCCCCAACCCACTTGCAGTCGCAGGCTGTGGGAGCCCTGGGGAACGCGGCCCCACGGCTTCAACTGGCACATCGGACGGGGAGCTCCAAACCTTCTCTTGGCTCGAGCTTTCTTTTCCCCCTAACGCGAGGATAAGCTCCCCGATGCATTGGATTTCGCGCTGAATCTCCTCTGCGTCTTCGGGGTCCTCGCCACCGCGCAAAGCCGCGACCGAGAACCTGGTCCGCAGCCGACGGACCATCTTCGTAGGATGCCAGTCCCCGCCTATCTTGGAGAACTCATCCGCAAGGAGGGTGGCTTTGGTGCTTAAGGCGTCAAGGTCACGGGAGCTCACCGTGACTCCATGCGCTTTCAGCGCGAGGACAATCCGCGAAACGCGCGTCAAGTAGTCCGCGACCGGTTCTTGGTCTGGACGGAAAATCGCGCGCAGCTCCGCCTGCAAGCCCTCTGCGGTGCCTGGCACTGAACCTGCTGTCGACGGCGGACCGGACGGTCCCGCCGGGCGGGACCCTGGTGCCGTAGCAGGGACATAGGCAGCACCGGTAGGGACCATGGCCAGCTCCCTAGCCGCGGCGCTGACGTCCACCCGCGGCGGACTGTCGCCTCCACCGCCCGAGGCCTCAGGGACTAGCTCGGAGTCCTCTTCTTCTTCCTCTTCATCCTCGTCCTCCTCTTCGGCGTCATGGAGGAACTTCATGACTTTCCGCCAGAGAGCCGCCTCTTGCTCTGGCGTAGTGCTGACCCCATCCCGCTTGGACAATGGGCGGCTGCCAGTCTCCCTACGCCACTTAAGCCAAGCGACGTAGCTCATCCGCTCTGGATAGGGAACGTCTCCACCCTCGATAGCTTCGAGGAGGGTGACGCCCTCAGCCTGACCTGCAACCTCTGCGGACATTGCCGCAACACAAGGCGAGAAGCCGCGCCTTGGTTAGCAGGCCGCAGGCGTGGCACGCGAAGCGCCGCGCCTTGGTTAACAGGCCGCAAGCGTGGCACACAGTCCACGCGTCCAGGTCACGGACCGCGACAGACAAGCAAAGCAATGCTTGCCCACTCGGGCCGTAGGCACAAGAGCTGTACGGTTCCCAGAACAGCCCCCAATTGTGAAGTCGACCAGCACTGGACTTGCACTAAGCCAATGCAATCACAGCCCGGTCACGCTGTTTTACGACTTCGCGAGTTCAAGCACTTGTGCAGCTACGCCTGAGTGCGTCCGGTCGGACCGCACAGCAACCTAGGAGCTACTGTACGACTCTACCGTGCTCAAAGGCACAAGCTCGGTACTTGAGCCAAAACATTGGCATTGTTACGAATTGCAAAACTACACATGCAAGGGAAAACTACTACAAGCTGCACTAGCACTAAGCAAGCACTCCATGCATGCTTTGACCTGCTCACAAAACAGATATACATATATACATATATACATATGTATACATATTAATATATGCACTCACATACATATGTATAAGTGCAAAAAAAGTGCTCTGATGCTGCACTTGAATTGCTCTTAAGAGTTTTTTTGAAGGTGGCCCATGATGGGCAGACGTCCCTTTGGCGAGGACCCCAGGACTGGCTCGGACGGACAGCAATTTTTTAGGGTTTAGGGTTTAGGGTTTAGGGCAATTTCTATGAAATTCTTGATTTGTTTTTTTTTATGATTTTTGTTTCCTTTCTCATTTCTTGGGTCTCTATTCCCGTCACCGTAGCTCACCGAGGGCCACCTCGCTGTTTTGAACAAAGGCCTCGCTGAAAATACGGGGTGTGAGGTACCTACAAATAATAATTGACCTTGGTTACGTGGTTCAGGGCAACTTGTTGCAGGAAACGAAACACGACTCGAATCGAACAGAGTGAAACGACTACTCGAAACGAACCACATCGATTCGATTCTTTCTTGTAATGGAACCGCAGACCCCTACGAGCGAATCGCATCAATCCTGTCAAAGAAAACAGGCCGAATGTTCCAAGCCCTGGGCATGTGCGTGCCAGCGCATGCACATGCCCAGGTGGAATCAAATCCTTGTGATCTGTACCGATCCAAAACGTGTTTCTTCATAATAAACAATGATTGCATGCATGCGGCACTGCCACGTTCCAATACACTACAGTGATGTTTTTGGAAGATTCTCATCCAACAGTTCTGAATAATATCCAAAAACTACCCACCTGGAATCTCGTACCTTTTCTAACCAGTGTTTATAATGTAGTACTGCTGCTATGTCGCATGCCAACTTGGCGACTCCCTTGCTTTCAGCCTTTGAGTTCGCTGCCAGTCACTGCCAGTCCTCCACAGACAGCTTTGCAGCGGTCAAGTCCACTTCCGTGGCCGAGTTACATTCGTTTGGCGCCAGGTTGTCCGCACAGAGCCTTGGGATTTGCACTGCCGAGGCACATCCTCGTCCTTGTGCTACGGTTGGTTTGACTCTGAACAGCTCGCGGCCATACAAGACATGAGTACATGAGTTTCGGTGCGTGCATAGACCTCCCCAAGTGTTGAAGCTCATTAATTGGGATGTTCCCCGTTATACCAACAGTCCTGAATAGGGCTGATGTTAGGGGGTACTATGACATCCCCATTAAGGACTGTTAGTTTTAGGGGGAACATCCCAACTCATCAAGCAGGCTGCCGCGAAGAGTGGGAATGCTGACGAGATGCACTGAGGGAGGACACATATCCTGGCATGGTCTCGGGGTTTAGGGTTTAGGGTTTAGGGTTTAGGGTTTAGGGAACGCAACAGCACAAGCTCCCTGGGAGGATCCAAAAAAAGTAGAATCCCAAAGAGTGCCCTATACTACTATTGGGCAATTGTTTAGGAACCGTTAAGGGGATCTACTCTACTATTGGGTCATGTTTAGGAACCCCCAAACCTCTCTTTCATATATAATTTAAATGTTAAGGAGTTACTGGGCAAGGTCATTTTTTACTGGGCAAGGTCATTTTTTTACTGGGCAAGGTCATTTTTTTTACTGGGCAAGGTCGTTTCGTCCAAAAAAACGACCTTGCCCAGTAAAAACATGATCTTGCCCAGTAAAAATGTTACTGGGCAAGGTCATCTTTTTACTGGGCAAGGTCTTTTTTTTTCTGGGCAAGGTCATTTTTTTACTGGGCAAGGTCAATTTTTTTACTGGGCAAGGTCGTTTCGTCCAAAAAAACGACCTTGCCCAGTAAAAACATGATCTTGCCCAGTAAAAATGTTACTGGGCAAGGTCATCTTTTTACTGGGCAAGGTCTTTTTTTTTCTGGGCAAGGTCATTTTTTACTGGGCAAGGTCATTTTTGCTACTGGCAAGGTCATTTTTTACTGGGCAAGGTGATTTTTTTTTTCTGGGCAAGGTCATTCTTTTACTGGGCAACGTCATTTTTTTACTGGGCAAGGTCATTTTTTTTACTGGGCAAGGTCATTTTTTACTGGGCAAGGTTATTTTTTTACTGGGCAAGGTCATTTTTTATTGGGCAAGGTCGTTTTTTTTTTTACTGGGCAAGGTCATTTTTTTACTGGGCAAGGTCGTTCCATAAGTGAAATATTTTCTTAATGTTGTGGGATTCTTTGGGCGGGTGGGTATTTTTCTGGAGTAATTTCTTGACTAGTGAATGCTTGGACTTGAGATGCTGAACCCTAAACCCTAAACCCTAAACCCTGATTCCTGAACCCTTAAGGGGATCTCTACCTTTTTTGGGATCCTCCCGTCGTGGAAGCATCGCGGCCTTGACTCCATCGGGTCGCTCGGTGGGCACCGGCTGCAATGCCTCGTCGAAGACCTGCGCCTGGGGGAAAACATAATTGAGGTTGGTTTAGGGTTTAGGGTCTAGGGTCTAGGGCTTAGGGTTTAGGGTTTAGGGTTTAGGGTTTCGGGTTTAGGGGTCTCCGAAAATAGGGGTACTCTTTTTGGGGGTCCCTTTAAGGGGATTCTATTCTATATTGGGGTATGAGAGGGGTACACCCTTCTTTTGGGAAACGCCCAAATGGTCAGCTGTGTTAGGACAGACAACCCAGTCACAACCCATCCCAAGTCATTCTTGAAAACTGTGCAAAATACCATTTTAGACAGGGAACAACTGTACCTACCCTCAGGTGGTGTTGCTGGATCCCACGCGAGCCACGTGCTGAAGACTGCAACTTCAGACCCCCTAAACCCTAAACCCTAAGCCCTAAATCCAAAATTCGAAACCCTAACTGAAGCTCCCAGAAGCTCCCGTGCCTCCACGTCCCGCATTGCCATCGCTCGACGTGCCCCCGGCTTCCCAAGACAGTGCTCGCGGCCTGTGCGCCCTTTCTCAATGTTCAGCAGTAAGCTCAAGCTTTTCGTTGGCTAAGCATAGTGTCAGGATGTGCAGTCTGTACGACAACTGCGGTTGGGGACATGAAATGGAATGGCTGCAATACAGAGCACACTGGTAACTGGTATGACATCAGAAGTCTACAAATCTGCTTTGCTTTGTGATTGTTGCAGCGATGCAAAGCAAGGCCATGCGGAATTCAGAGAACAGGGCATGCTGGCCGGCCATTGCAGGCACTTGGGCTGGCCAAGCAAAAAAAATGGCTGCGGATCGGCCCTATGAATGTCGGCGAGTTTCGGTGGGGTCTGGTTACTTTGGGGTTTGTTGGGTTTAGGGTCTACAGCGACTGTGGATTCAATAGGGTGGAAGGTCAAGCTTGACTCTCGCGGCATGACGCGAGCAAGTGAAATCAAGAAGCAAGTGGGCGCTGCTCCTGGAATAACTCCGCTGCCACCAAAAGGCAGGTCAATCGCCTAGGTCACCCGTTGACAGCAGAAGACTCCAACAAGATTCAGCATGAGGTCGGGCAGCTGAGGGAAGATGTCACCAGAGACAGGGACAGTGGTGTTCATTATGGTGATGCGATGTTGTGATAGGTTGTCGTGCTTGTTCGCCCCAAAACTGCCGCATACCAGTTGCCTACTACACAAGGTCGGCACAATACATCGCGAGACCTCTTCAAGCAGAGCAATGGGAAAACACGGGAAGGAGTGAGCGAGGTCAGCAACAGTGCAGCAACGCCTGCAGACGTTTAGCTGTACGAATACGGTGGCATGCATACGCTTCTTGACAGGATAAACCACAAATCCCAAGGAGTTCTCGCGATTTGGAGCTGCGTTCCGATGAAAGAGCAAAGATGAGCCCACTCCAGATGCCGAACCAAGTGCCTGCAGTCTACCATAGAACAACGCTGGTGAGACTGAAGCCGACACTCTGCAAACGTGGAATGAACCATGCGGGGGAAACAACTTAAGGAATCCTGAACCCTAAACCCTGAATTCCTGTATTCCTGAACCCATTCCAAGTCGAGAGGCCATATTCTGGAAGGCCCCATTTGAGCACTGGGCCTGGTTGAAGCTGTACTCTTCTAGGCTCGACCGATTACAAACAGCAGCAGAGATAGTTGCTCCAGGGATCTGTATGTTCAGATTCACAGGCAAGATGAACATCAGCACACATCCAACAAGTCCGCAGATCGTGTAATCTCCGTTTAATATCCCTCTGCAGTAGACCTTACTGCATACATGACATACACATCGACACAACTCTTGTATGCATGCATCCATACATGACATGCATGGCTACATGGCCGTCATCTCATCTCTTTAGCCAAGGCTCCGTGCCCAGCGGGCCCCCAACAAGGCGTCCGCTGAGAAAGGCTTTGGCAGAAAACGCTGCAGGAAGCATAGCACCATGCCTTGTAAATATGACTACTGTGCTGTGACTTTGGCTTCTCCAGGAAGGTGAAGGGAAGAGCTGCAGGACCGCAACTCGCCAGACAGCCGACAGCAAGACTTGTTCAACGGGAGATTCTTGAAGGTGAGCTGTTGAAGCAAGAGCAACTGGGACGAGCAAACCATCTGAGAGTCAATCGCAAGGCTGCGGCAACGACCTGAGGGTGCAACATGCTGTATGATTGGGTCGCTGTGCTGCCACTGCTGCCAATATGATCACTGACGTGTACAGGGTGTACATCCCGCAAGGAAAGAGTTTTGGATGTCATCTGGCGGTCTGGAGAAGTCAACGGCATGTGGTGATGTGCAAAACATATGCGCGCACACACACACACACACGCACATACACAGTCGCACAAACATGCTGCTCCGGCCACCATGCCGGCACTATGCCAAGCATGCTCTGACCATGTGGGGAGTTCCTGGTTTTTGGGTGCTCCTATTCGGGTACTTGACCCTTGCCCCCTCCCGACACTTCAAAGCTCTTAGACTTGTCACTCTTTTTTTGAACCTGCGCTGTGCAACTTCCTTCTTGTGAAAACCAATAACAACGTTGACCCCCGCCCCGACGTTTGAAAGAACCAATAGCTTGCTGCTTCGAAATATCAGCTCGGACATCACGAATGCCGAGGCTAGTACACGGGAAGCAGTGAGTCGTCCAGATATGACACCTTGGTTGGCGGGCGAGCCGACCGACAGAAACGGACAGCATGCTTAAGGTTGCACGCGCCCATGAGGAGCGCACTGCGAGCCCAAGTACCTGCGTCTGACTGGCTCAATGCTAGTCAGCCAGGCACTGACAAAAACGACATGGGTCAAATCTTGAACAACTCTTTTGGCGTGCTCGACTGCTCGACTTGCAATCCCATGGGCACCTGGAAATTGAAGAAGCCATAGTTGCCCGTGGCCGCGATCGCCATCTGCCGATAACAAGCAGTCGGCGGTAGCTGCAATTGGACTTGCAAGGCTAGAGAAGATTCAGGGCAGCCGGGCATGAGGGCTCCAGCAGTGGCAACAATGGTGAGCCCTCTGTAAACAAACATGCCAGGGAGTCCATCAACGTAGCTGAGCCTGAGAAGGCCAACAAGCGACAAAGCTGCGTCCCCCACCTGACAAGTCCATGCTGAGAGCTGCTGATGCTGAACAGAACCCTGGAATTTCTCAGGCGTGTTCTTATCAGTCTAGATGTGTTGTTGTGAGGATGGTATGCTTTTGGCCGTAGCCGGGCTTGCACTTTCTCGAAGATTGCTTTATGGCACCGACCACACCGGGTATCTGTCGCCATCGAGCGTTCAGGGGTTCCAGTTCTTGTGCCTCGAGGGGGGGGGGACGCCGATGGTTTGGAACATTTTGTTTGTTCTACTTTGGTACATCCCCTGAAGCTGAACGGATGAAACGTGCCAAAAGTACTGCAAGCATCGAGGGGGCTGCTCAAGCCCTCCCCCCCCGCAAGAGAAGCCCGAAAAAGCGGAAAATCGCGGGATGTTGTGATGTTGGCGACGAGATCACAAGCAGACAAGCAGTGACCAAACGAAAAAGCAAAACATGCTGCAAATGCTGAAGTCTCGGCCTGCATGCAATCGAAATGACGTACCCCCCCCCCCCCCCCCCCCCCCCCCCCGCCCCACACACACCCTAAAGTCACAAACTCGTCAGTCCTTTCACGGGGGCGAAAGGCAACCCTTCCATGAACTACCTATAGTGCTGAAACACATTGTTCACGCGCGGGACCGAGGAAAAGCTTCTGTTTTGTGATGCACTTCAGCTGTGTCCGTACAGTTTTCACTCAACACTATTTCACGAACTCGCAGCCGTCATCTCACGTGTCGACTTTGAAGACCTGCACGGGCTTGGAAGGCAAGATTTGCAAGAATGGCTGCTTACTCGCTGCGCGATGTTTACATCATTTAGGGGTCTCCGCAATTCGGGGTCCCTTAGTGGAGTCCGTCTGAAAAGGAATCCTACTTTTTGGGGGGTTTGTATTCTGGGTCCCTGATGTTGCAAGCCCCCTAAACCCTAACCCCTAACCCCTAACCCCTAAACCCTAAACCCCCATTTAGAGTTGCGCGACAGGCCCGGCCGGCCAAGCTTCAGGCTTCCCATGGAGCACTCAAATATCCAACGGCAGAACCCAATATCTGCTTCTATCCCGAAGCAGCGACCCTCAACCCTAAACCCTAAACGCTAAACCCTAAACCCTCAACCCTAAACCCTTAACGCTAAACGCGAAACGCTAAACGCGAAACGCTAAACGCTAAACGCTAAACCCTAAACCCTAAACCCTAAACCCTGAACCCTAACTTCCCGGCCTTGCCCGAGAACGCCCGCGGACGTTGCAAGGTGCGCTCAGCCGCGGGAAGATGTTCCAAGTACCTGCCGAAGTGCAACGTGCAGTTTAGGGTTTAGGGTTTAGGGCTTAGGGTTTAGGGTTTAGGGTAAGGGTTTAGGGCAAAGTGTACCTCTATATGCCTACAGCTCAGTATAGTAACTACACCGTATTTAGCAGGTATAACCCGTAAATCCGTAGGAAAAGAGAGTCCCAGGTAGTTTAGATAGATACTTCAGGGCTATAGGGCACTTAGGGGGCTACTCATAAACCAAGAGGCGCCTAAGAGTGTGACAGAGTGACCGGGCCTGCTCGAATCATGATCGCTGTCCTCGTCGTACTGGGCATCCATGCCTAGCTGCGCCGCCACTGTGACGATGCGTATGGTGGGTCCGGCTCGGTTACGTTGTGGGTGACAACTTTCCTAGCTCTCCTATGCGGCTTTCCATATGGCAACAATCATGGATGAAAATCACACATTGCCAAATCACGCCGGGTGTCGAAGGCTTGCCTGGTCCACGCACACATGTGCGCATGCTGACCTGGCCATCTAACAGCTGCACAAGACTGGGCACCAGAAAATCTACCGACAGTGCCACATGCCCGGGGACGGGGCAAGTAGCAGCCCGCTGCCATACTTACGGGCGTCAGGAGCTTGCACAAGCTTTCAGCCTAAGCACGCGAGGCGCCAGTCACAATGCCAGCAGTTTTTCACATCCAGGGACTGAGTAGTACATTTGGCACCTGCCCTTCGGAATTGGGAACTGTCGTAGGTCGTACAAGGCTTGGTGAGGGCCCCTGGCCGCAGCGATGCTCACAAGATTCTTAGCTGAAACAGATCTTCGGACAGAACCGCGTTCGTACTGCCTGCAGGCTCTGCTGGGCCCACGACGTTAAATTCCAACCCCCGCTTCAGGTCGAAGAAGGGTGTCATTTGAGTGTAGGTGGTCCAGGACTCAAACTTCGTACCTCCGGTCCAGGCATGCTGCTGGCAGATCCTGCAACATGCTGCAATCGACGTGGCTGGTTCGTCTCGCAACCCACGCAAGCCAAAGCAGTACATGCTCAGTCCGCACCAGGCATTACAAATACTAACAATATTATTTAGTAATAATAATGATAATACGCAAGAAAATAATAATCATGATGATAATACTAATGG